CCTAAATGAAGCTGCAACCGAAGACACAGTGGACCTGGAGGCTACTGAAGGCCAGGGCCTGGGCTGATACCCAGAGCAGTGCCTTGACAGCACTACACAGCGAGGTGTGTGGGACACCATAACCCCCACTTCACAGGCTTCCCTGCTGTGAAGGACCAGGGTTGGGATTCAAAGCCAGGGCTGGTGGACAGCGGTCTATCCAAGTTTCTTCCAGGACCCGAATCACCTTGAGACTTTGAAATCTGGGTTAGGAGAGAGCTGCCTGGGGCAGGGGTGGGGTGGTGGTGTCCACCCCGAGATTTCTCGGAGACTGGGAACACAGTGAGGAATGTGGAGAGACCTCGTCCCCTTGGTATGAACAGCTGTGAGCGTGACCACCCCCACGGAGAGCTCGCTAAGGCCAAGCGGTGGCCTCCACAGTTCCACGCCGCACATAGCAGGGCCGCATTTCCCCTTAAAAACACATCACTGTGTCTTGAGCCAATGGGAGGATTCTATTCTGTACCAAGAATATTAACTGGACACCTGCAAATTCTTTTTAACAAAGGATTTTCAAATGGTGCCAGCAAGGAGTGAGTGGCACCGAGCTGACAGCCACTTGTCCCAGATGGTGGAGAAGCAGAAATGACAGAGATGGCAGTGCAGACGGCGGGAGAATGGGGACCAGCAAGACTTCCCAGCAAGCTACGGAACCAGCGCTTGTCAAACGCAGAGGGGAAGGAGGGCCTGGCCTCTGGGCTGTTGCATCATCAATGCTGGGACAGTCTGTCCCCGAGGACGGCGGCTCTCACCCAGTGAGGAGAGTAAGAGCTCATCACCAGCACACGGGGAGAAAAACATCTGCACCGTACAGAGTAACATTTAATGTCCCGAAATGTACAAAGAGCTTCCACAATCAGTAACCAAAATGGACGGAGAGCACTGGAGCCAGACGGGAGCTTTCTAAGAGTTGCTGTTGTGTATGACTCATAGTGACCCTATGAACAACTGATCTGATCCCTGTCCTGCCCTGTGCCATCCTCACAATCTCTGACACACTCGAGCCCACCGCTGTGGTCACTACTGTGTCAACCCACCTGGTTGAGGGTCTTTCTCTCTTTTGTCGCCCCTCCACTTTCTCAAGCCATGATGTTCTTCTCCATGGAATAACTTCTCTCAGCAAGATGCCCGCAGTGTATGAGATGAAGCTTCTTCATCTTTGCCTCCAAGGAGCACTCTGGCTGCACCTTCTCCAGGACTCATCTTTTTGGCAGTTCATAAGATCTTCAGTACTCTGCTCCAACACCATAATTCAAAGGCATCACTTCTTCTGTCATTCTTATTCACTATCCGACTCTCAGATGCACAGTAAAGATACACACACCTAAAGGGTACATCTGCTGTTAGAGATCTCTATAAGGTACTGAAGAACAGGGTGTCGCTTTGAAGGCCTAGGTGTGTGGACAATGACTATGGAAGAGTGAAGATGTGATACCTGTGAATTGTCCTGTGAAGGATAATGAGTTCGCTACGGATTTCTGAAAGAACAAGCACATCTGTCTTGGAAGCGTAGCCAGAATGATTTTTCCGAGGGAAGCATTCCAAGATGCCATCTCCCATTCTTTGGGCACGTCATCAGGTGGGGCCTGGCCCTGGAGAAGGACAGCATGCTTGGAAAGGCGGCAGGTCAGGGAAGCTGCACAGGGCAGATCGGCACAATGACAATGACAGCAACCATGGGCGCAGCAGATTGTAAGGACGGGGCAGGTTCTATTCTGTCACGTGGGGGCTGCTTTCGGAAGGAGCTGACCGATGGCACCGAATGACGACAACTGGGAATCTGCCTCAGGAACTTGCAGGAGAAAAGAAAGGGCCACAGAGCCTTCTCCTGACGAAATCTCTGGAGGAACTGGGGACGATGTTCTAACAAGCCACAAGCTCTCCCCTCCCCACTGCCTTTGATGCGGTGTCTCCTAGACATGGTGAGAGGCGGGGGTGCTGTCCAAGCAGTTAAGAGAAGGGGCCTTGGAGGCTTTGAGTCTGGACTTCACCACTTCTTAGCTGGCTGCAAGGTGTTCAACCTCCAGAGGCCTCAGCTTTCTGAGCTGTGAGGTGGGAATAACGGGAGCGTCTCCCAGGACTGTTGTGAGGGTGTGGTGGACACTGAGCAGAGCGCCAGCAGAGTTCCTAGCTAACAGCAAACCCAAACCTGCAGCCACTGAGTTAATTACAGCTCACGGAGACCCACTTGTGTCAGCACAGAACTGCCCCACAGGTGTTAGGGGCCAAAAGGTTATGGAAGGGGAGCCCTGGCAGTGCAATGGTTAAAGCACCCAGCTGTTAAGTGAACGCCCAGCAGCAGCTCTAAGGCACAAAGTGGCAGCAGTCGGCATTATGTCCATAGCGATGTAGCCGATGTAGCCTCGGGAGCTCTACGCGGCAGTTCTACAGGGTTCCTGCAAGGCAGAAGTGACTGCGCGCTGAGACTCTTACACAAGAAGTTCACCAGGCATTTCTTCCGCAGCACTGGTGGGTGGATTTGCACTGTTGACCTTTTGATTCTGAAGACAAGCAAAACCTGTGCTCCCCAGGGGCTGCCTAAGGACGTCATACACGTAGGCCATGTATCATCCTAGCCAAGAGATAACCAAGCTGAAGGCCACTGTGGAGGACGTGAGGAAGGAAGAACCCTGGAAGCTGGGTGTGGTCCTGTCTGAATAAACAGACCTGGACTCCAAGGATCCTAACTGAGATCAGCTCTAACCGCCAGGGACAAGGAGCCTCACGAGCTTAGCAGATAAGGAGCCCAGAAAGGCCTCCAGGAGGAAAGGCTCAGTAGCTCACAATGTGTCCACTGTCAATGTGCAGGAGGCCCTAGAGGTCACCGAAGAGGTGGGGCAGGTGACACTTGGGAAAGGGATTCTGGGAAAGAACAGGATGTGACAGAATCCGGACTCATCACTGATGGCCAAACCCCCAAGTCCCTTCCCGAGAGATGAGAAGGCAGAGCTCGCCTCTCCAGTCGCAGTGCTCCCCCACCCTGCCCCGCAGGCTCCAGTCTCCTCCGCAGCAGAAGCCACCCCCCACCTCCACTCCTCACACGCTGCCAACATCTGGTGCTTCAGCAAATCGAGTTTCCAGTGCAGCTCGAGCAGAGCTGCTCAATGGGCCACATCTCCTGCGCCCTCCAAGTGCACACGCACCCAAACCAATTTCCAGCAAAGGAAACAGGATGGGATTAAACAACTCAATTTAAAGGACTGAAAACTCAGCGGCTTCCAGCGAGGACTGGAGAAGGAGCCAATCAGCAACGCTCTTTTCCTTTTCATATTGAAATGAGGGCTGCAACTGAGCAGTGAATCACCACAGAACTGGGCCATGTCCACCTGGGCTTGGCCCTGGGGTGGGGGAGGGAGCCCACGGGAAGGAGTACGAATGTGTGGGGGTGTGGGGGTGCAGGGAGGATGGACAGACAGCGAGGGTCAAGGGCACATTCACAGCCCATCTGTTCTGGATTGTTCTGGAAATGCAGAATCTCTGCTTGAAGGACCTAGAGGCCGATGCTTGTCTGCTTCTGAATCCATCTGTCCAGTCCAGGGCCAGGGCAGCTGTGCTGGGAGCTCATTCATACAAGCATGGACCCAGCCAGGGGCTCCAGGACATGGGGTGGGGAGCAACTTCCCTCTCTTCTAAGCCCGCCCACACTCCTGCTGGACACATGCGCAGGTCTGCAGAGCTTCACGTCCACTCCTTTACAGAGGACCGGGCGTGGGGGTAAGAGGGACAGGTGACTCAGACCTTCAGCATTCGACAGGAGCCCAGGGAGCTGGAATGGGCAGCGTCCCAGTGGCAAATCTTGACACCCTGGCAGTGAGGTGGGGAGTGCCAACAGAGAACCACCAGGGAAAGGAATGCTGGCGAGGACAATGGGTGCTGCAGCCTCTGCTCTGCAGAAAGACAGGACCGCCCTGCGTCCCTCCTGGCCGGCCTCCTGTGACGCTCAGGGGGCTGCTCCTGCAACCTGAGGTCTGGCCCAGCCTCTCCCCTTTCCACCAAAGCAGGAGCTCAAGGTCCTAATGTCACCCTAAGGGTCCAAAAGGGGTCCTGTTCAATGGAGTCCTGCGGAGACGCTCATCACATGCCTGGCACGGTGCTTAGCCATTTCCAGAGGTCACTCATTTGCACTCTCACAGCCCGGTGCACGCAGGGCTGCCACCCCGCTGAACAGGGATAGGCGGTGGGGGATCTGGGAGGTGGAGGTGCTGAGCTATGCTCTGGACGCAGAGCCTGTGTGTGGGGGGCCAATGCTCCCAGCCGCCGTTCTCAGAGCCTGCATGGGGGCCTGTGCTCAAGACGCAGAGCCTGTGTGTGGGGGGGCCAATGCTCCCAGCCGCCGTTCTCAGAGCCTGCATGGGGGCCTGTGCTCGAGACGCAGAGGGCCTGTGCTCGAGACGCAGAGCCTGCATGGGGGCCTGCACTCCGGATGCAGAGCCTGTGTGGGGGCCAGTGCCCCCAGTCATTCTCCCCCACCTCCTGGGACGACACAGAAAATCCTGCTGTAGCCCGTTTCCCAGGTGAGGGCCTGTCCCAGGGCCCTTCTAGAAAGAGCAATAGCAGAGCCCATACCCAGACCCATGGCCATCGAGTCAACTGCAAGTGAACTCTGGGCGACTCCACAGGCCCGGGGGACGCCCCACTGGCCTCCTATGGCTGTGGGCTTTCTCCACAGAACAGCTAAGGCTGGGGTGGGGCTGGGCTGCTGACCTGGCTTAAAGCTAAGTACTTTAACCACTGCACCACCAGGGTTCTTCTAGAGACGGGTCCTTATTCCCAACACCAGGATTTTAAAGATAAACCTCTCCTGCGGAGAGGGTCCGACCTTCCAAGGCATGAAGAGCAGGGCAAACGTTCTGCTGCTGCTTCGGGAACCACCCCAACACAACACAACAAGCACCTCTGAACTCTGAGCACCCATCACTGTAACGGGGTGGTGGGCTCCATGGGCGGGGCAGGGGACCTACCTCGTCAGACTCGTCCGACAGCGTCTGCAGCAGGATGGGGAAGAGGCTGTCTGTGTGCCGGAACATCTGGGGGCAGAGAGGCCGGGCACTGTGAGTTCCCCACCCACCAGCACAGGCCACCTGCCCCACAGGGACCCCCCACAGTGCCCCTCACCCCTTGGCTTTCCCCAGAACTGCAGTGACCCCAACCCGACTCGAGCAGGGGGCAGGCCGCCCACCCCAGGTGAGGTAGAGGGGCTCCAGGCTGTGGGGGCGGGAGCTCACTTTCCGGGGGGTCTTGATGTAGAGGTGGTACAGCCACTTGAGGACTGCAATCCTGGTCATCATCCCGATGGCCGTGTCGCTGAGGTGGGAGTTCAGGACCTGCACGATGCCATCGAGGTGCAGGGTGACCGGGGCCCTGTCAGCGCTGTGGGCAACAGCAGGAAGGAGGTGAGGGTGAGAGCCCGCCATGCCCCCCAGACCTGGGACACTTCAGCCACACGCTGAGCGACTGCCTGGGTGCCGTAACACGGGTGCAGACTGCACTCTCCCCTCTGCACTCTTGGGGTGTACCCCCCACCAGTCTGGATGCTCAAAGGAGGAGGGGCTAGTCCCCGGCCCCCACCAACTCCCCTTTTTTTGTCTGGGACAGAAGACTCTCCCTTCTGGATCTGAGTCCAGATAAAACGCTCAGCTGCTCCATGAAAACCTCAGGTTCAAGTGCACAGGTGCTGTGGAAGAAAGGCCTGGCAATCTAGTGCCAACAAATCAACCACCGAGCACATTACAGAGCACAGCCTGACACAGCCTGGTCACCAGGAGTCAGTGGCAATGCCACACCTGGGTCACCGAGAAAGCAACTGGGGACGGGCAGCTGATGGGACCACTTAGGGTCTCACAGGCCCCTCAGCAGGCCGAAGAATGCATTCTCCGTGAGAGCAGGGCTTGTGCGTTCTCTTCTCTGAGACGTCCCGTCCGGAGCACGTGGAGCAGCTGCCCTTGCAGGGGTGACACGCTGCTGGGCTGAGGGAGGGACAGCAGAGTCCCAGAGGAACAGCAGCCCTGAGCTGGTTCAAGGTGTGCTTTTGCTCAGCGGGTGGAGGGCTCCTGGGCTTCAGGCCTGCAGGTCTTCGAGCACAGTTCTGCTGAGTCAAGCAGTGTCTGGTGCTGGGAGACCCACCTGCACTGCTGGAGGCAGAGGCCCGCTCTGCGGGGGCTAGGTGGACCCCCTTCTCCTGATGCTCCTCCCGATGGCAACACAACAGTGCAGACCTCGGCTGTTTTCCCTATAGACCCACCAGGCGGTCCTTGCTCGCCTGTGAAAACAGTCTTTCGTGGTATTTCCAGGCTGCTCAATTATTCATTTACACCAGGAACTCGGTGGCTGCGTGCTCCTCATCCACTCGCAGCCCCTCAGCAGCTCATTTGATGTGAATTCCTAAAGGGCACAGTTCTGAGCTCTCTAATTGCTCTTTAATCTGGTTTGATGAGCCCCGTGGTGCTCATTTCGGGGGTGAGAGTGGGCATTTGGATTCCCCTGGCGGCCAGAAGAGCTGGGTGTGTGTGCTGGAGCCTCAGCCCAGGGCTGCCGCAGAGCTGTGTGCTGGGAGGGTCCCCCTGCCATCTGAGGCTATCAAACCAGCGACACTTCTGGTGGTGAAGGGCGGACAGGAAGCTATGGCAGAGACATGAGAGCCCAGGCTGGCCAACCTGGGATCTCAGCCCCTCTCTCTTGAGCTCATGGTCCAAGAGGAGCATCACACAGACCAGGTGAGGACCTAACTTCTCTAGTCGTTGACTATGACTCATGAAGGACCCCATGAACAAGGGCTCTGAATCCTGCCCTGTCACGTGCCATCCAGGCTGAGCCCAGAGTGGCAGCCATTGTCAATCCAGCTTGTTGAGGCTACTCCCCTTCATCACTGACTCCCCACCTTTCCAGGTATGATGTCCTTCACCCAGGACTGGGCCTCCTTAACCCGGGACCGGGCCTCCTTCACCCGGGACTGGGCCTCCTTCACCCGGGACTGGGCCTTCCTGCTTTTACATGGGCAAAGTATGTGAGCTGAAGCTTGACTGTCCTTGTCTCCAAGAAACACCCTGGCTGCAACTTTTCTAAAACATATTTGTTTGTCCTTTTGGCAGCCCACGGGATAGTCAATACACTTCTTCAACACTATGACTCAAAGGCATTGATTCGTCTTCTGTCATCCTTATTCACTGCTCAACTTGCAGCTGCGTACCAAGTAACTGAAAAGATTATGGTTTGGATCAGGCACACTTTAGTCTTGAAACTGTTATCATTGCTCTTATGCACTTTGGAGAAGCTTTGGACAGTATACTTTCTCAATTCAACTCATCTTTTGGTTTTCTGACTGCTTGTGCCAAGGCTGATTGTGGATCCAAGCAAGATGAGAGCTTTGACAATTTCTCTTCTCTTCTCCATTTATCAGGATGTTGTCTATTGGTCCAGTGGAGAGGATTTTAATTTTCTTCATGAAGAATGTGGTATCTTGGTGTATGGGAGGAAGACTCATCAACGATCTCCATTATGCAGATGACTCAACTTTGCTTGCTGAAAGTGAGGAGGACTTGAAACGCTTTCTGCCGAGGATCAAAGACTACAGCTTTCAATATGGGTAACATCTCAACATCAAGAAAACAAAAATTCTCTAGCAGTCGTGGTAAAAACAAACAGACGGGAGAAAGGGGTTAGCTTGTCCATCCATGGCTCCCTTTGCAAAGCCTAAGAAATCTTTGCATTTTTTAAAAAAAAGGAAACAGGTAGGATTTATTGCAGTAATGTTTTTTAGCTAACCCAGTAGAAGCACACTTTAACCATGCAATCACCAGAAAGCTGTCTGTTCTCCCTGTGCGTGTGTATTTTCAGTGCATCGCCATTCCGACCACCCATCTGTGGTCAGTGGCCAGTGCGCTCCAAACACTGCCCGTTATCAGTGGCCAGCGTGGCTCGACGGCAGGCCTCCAGCAGCAAGTGCGGCCTCCACCTTTTCTGCAACAAGTTCTCAGCGCCCTGCTCTTCCAGATGGCCGGGATTTACTGCCTTATCTCCAACTTCCTGCATCTGGTTTCCTGCAGCTCCTTCCGGTATGTTCCATTCTAGGTGGGCCCCCCCTTGGGCCCGCAGGATCATGGGGCTGAGGAACTTGGACCAGGGTGGTGGAGACACCTCCCCCGACTAGCACAGAGCCAGTTCACGAAGCTGCTTGTTGCTGCGAGGCGCGGCCAAACCCACGATGATTCACAAACCCAAGAACCAGACTGAACCTTGTCCTGTCCTGCACTATCCTCACATCTACACCAGCCTCCTCACGTCTACACCACCCTCCTCTCCGTCCACACCACGCTCCTCACCATCTACACCACCCTCCTCACCGTCTACACCACCCTCCTCACCGTCTACACCACCATCTCCGTCTATACCACCTTCCTCCCCATCTACACCACCCTCCTCACGTCTACACCACCCTCCTCACGTCTACACCATGCTCAAGCCCAAGGCTGCATCACTGTGTTAACCATCCTGTTGAGGGTGAACCTTCTACTTTTCCAAACATGGTGCCTTTTCCAAGGACTGGTGCCCTGACACCACACTCTAAGCATGAGAGCTGACGTTTCACCACCTCTGCCTCTCAGGAGCACCTTAGCCGCTCTTCTTCACGGCAGATCTGCTTTTCTTTCGGCAGTGTATTCAAGTCTCTTTACCAGCAGAACAACTCAAAAGCATCATTTCTTCATCCTCCTTATTTATTATTCAACTTCCATGTGCTCATGAAACAACTGAAAAACATCATGGTTAGGGTAAGGTGCACCTTAGTCTCCAACGCTCTCCAATACTTTAAAGAAGCCCTTGACAGTAGATTTGCACAACACAACACAACACAACACAACACAACCTGTATTCAGATTTTCTGCTGCCGTGGGTGTTGACTGTAGAGTCAAGGAAAATGCAATGCCTGACATCAATCTTTTCTCCATCTATCCTGCTGCTGCCTACTGGTCCCATGGTGAGAAGTTTTCTTATCTTGATGCAGAGATGTAACCTATATTGAATGCTGTAGTCTTTGATCTTCTTCAATAAGTGCTTAAAGTTTTTATATATACATATACATATATAGATATATACATACACACACACACACTCTACATAACATGGGAGAGTCTAAAGAACATGCTGAATGAACTAAGTCAGTCTCATAAGGACAAATACTGTCCAAGATCATTATTGTATAAACAGATAGTAAAATGTGTATGAAAGTTCAAAAGGGGAAGTGGAAGGGGTCCGGAGGACAGAGGGTGGGGAAGGGAGGAAATCATTAGGATAATAGAGTTCAGTGGGCTAAGGCGTGTGCGTGTGTGAGTGTGAAGGACTTAGGAAAGATATAATGGAGACCTGAAAAGGTGGGCTAGTAGTGGGCATAGATCAATGGTAATAAAATTTATAAAACACAATGTACATGAATTAACACACAACGTATAAGAATTTTATATGCAAAGCAATATAAAATAAAAATAAAGTGGGGGGAAATATAGATTTCTGGACTAGTTCCCAAATGTCTGGACATGTCAATCTTGGGGGTTATTTCAATGTAGCTGCAAAGCCCACTTTTACTGAATAAATTTTATATAGAGCATCACCTAGCCAATGTCCTACGTGGACACACACACTACTGTTTTGGGTTTTTTTTACATTTTATTTTTATTGTATTTTGTGTGTGTACCGTCAAATCAGATCTGACTGGTACAAGAGGAGATTGCCCCTCCTTCTCCAGCAGAGCATCTGGTGGACTTGAACCACTACACACTACTGTTTTCAAATGCATGGCACTACCATGGCTACAAAGGCACAAATCGATGGAATGATGCTCCTGATAGTAGCATAAACAACACGCACTCCCATGGCTCTCTGCGGGAGTTTACTTCCAGAGGGTCTCCTCTTTTACAGTGGTTATCCTTAGGTGCCATCGAGTCGACTACAACTCGGCAATTTATGAACTCCATCCTGTGCCGTCTTCTCCATCTCAGATACACTCAAGCGCACTGTTGGAGTTACTACTGTGTCAATACAGCTAGGTGGAGTCTCTCTTCTCTTTCTTTGACCCTCCTCCACTTTTTATAGCATAATGTCTTTTCCCAAAGACTGGTGCTTCTTGACAACATGCCCTAAGAATGTGGCACAAAGTCTCACCCTGTCTCTTAGGAGCACCTCTTTACACTTCCTCCAAGACAGACTTGTTTGTTCTGCTGGCAGCCCATGGATTACTCAGGACTCTTCTCCAACACCACATTTCAAAGGCATCGATTTTTCTTCTGCCATCCTTACTCAATGTCTAAGTTCAGACGAATAAGAAGGAACTAAAATGACCACGGCCTGGATTAGATGCACCTCAGTCTTCAAACTGACATCAATGTTCCTTAGCACTTAGAAGAAATCTTCACAGCAGATTTTCCCAATGTGATACTTCTGATCTCTTGACTGCTGTTACTATTATTGTTGATGGTGGATTCAGGTAAGATAAAATAGCCGACAATGTTGATCTTTTCTCTATTATGATGTTGCCTTTCGAGCCAGTGGTACACATTTTTGTTTTCTTGATGTTGAGAAACTGTCAATTTTTTATGGTTATATGTTATCTCTGTTAATAAAAGGGTAAATCTAAAGAACGGTTTCTGAATTTGTATTTGCTTTTTATGAATCATTACTATGTCTGAAATCACTGGATGCTTAAGCTCGGGGAGCACTGATTTCTAGATATTTCTGCTTGTCCTACGTATGTGCAGATGGAGGCTCAGGATGCAGTGAACCTCGGCAATGCCCTAGGCATCAGAGGAGGAGAGGCTTCAACACAAAACCTCCTGAACACTCCATCTGAGACCGACACAGCTTAAATGTGCAGGCCTGGAGCCAGAATGATCTAGGTCAAATTCAATCCTGGTCACTAACGAGCTGAGTGACTCTGGGCCATTTTACAAATAAGGACTAACAAGGTTCTTGTAATGTTGTTGCTCTTGGGTGGGTGCCATCGAGTTGAACCCTATGAGTCCTGGAATAGCAGGAGCGAAAAGGTGTCAAGTGCCCTGTGTTCCTGGCACCGTCCTATGTATGCTCTTGATACACTTCCTCACACCCACTGCATCAGCCTTACTGTTACACCCAGTTTATGGATGAGGACACTGAGGCAGGGAGAAGCAGCTCGCTGCTCAAGGCTGCTGGGCATGGGGGAGCTGGGGAGTGTGCCACGCAGCTGAGCTCCCTGACCAGGAGGGTCATGAGTGACCAGGAAGGAGCCTGGTGTGAGCATCAGCAGACAGATGGGGTGGGGACCACGGTTTCTCAAACCCTTCCTGCTGCAAGCCTACTTCCGCCAGGCCAGCGCGTCTCCCTCCACCCCTTCCTAAGGGTCCACCTCTCCTCTTCCTGTGTATTTCCTATGTTCCTGCCAGCAGTGGAGGGTGGACTTCCGGCTGTGCAGAAACCCTGACTCCTCCCGAAGCCCACCCTCCGATGCCAGACCCAGGGTGACCGTGCGTCCCGGCTCTTCAGAGTTATTCCCTGTGGTGACTATCGAGCTGGGCCCCCTGTGGGGGCTCTCCCAGGATCCTGGGCAAGAAGGCAGATGAGGGGGGGTGGTTTGAGGTCAAGGCCTACATGCTTGAGTTTAGTCCATTATTTGCCCTCAGATTCGGCCAAAGTGAGGTGTTTGGTTTTCTTTTCTTTTTAAATCTGGGGTGTAAAACCTGGCTTTGAGGAGATGCCCAGAAGCATATTCAGAAGGTGGTGTGTACGTGCATTTAAAGAGGGTCACAGAATTGAGTGGTGTCTCCAAGGGGCCGAGTCTATTCCTGAGGACCCCCAGCACTGCCCGGCAGTGTCCACAGTGGGTGCCTTTCTGCCTGGAGCAACTCCCACCCCAGGCTGGCCTGAGCTGGACAAGGCTGGTGACCCAGGGCAGCGCCCTGAGCAAGCTGAGGTCCCGGAACGTCTCCGGGCGGATTCTGTTTGCTTTGATGACTCTGCAAGACGACATCTTTTCCACAATCGTCTTCTGGCTGCACCACCCACCCCTCTGAAACCAGAGGAAGCACACTCCTCTGCCCTGTCCCTCGGCCGCCATTCCCCACCCTGGCAGGTGGACAGTCCCTTCCTGCCTATGGGGCCAGCAGTCCGCAGCCTCCACACGGGGTTAGCGTGAACCTGGCCAGCGTGCGACTTCATTCACCCAGGAGGAGAAAGCACTGGCTCAGTGTGACTGTGAAAGAGCTCAAGTGGCTGCTGAGTGACAGGTACCAACCAGGAGAAGAGCTCCAATCAGGAGCTTCCTGGAGCCAGGATGGAGGCTCCTGGGTCCCCACCCCGCCCAGTGTTCTAGGAGCACGGCTGCCTGACCAAATGAACGAATATCACAGACAGTTCGTGAGAAAGGTGGGCCCCTGGTGATTCCATGGTTAAAGCACTTGACAGCTAAATGAATAGGCTGGTGGTTCAAACTCACCAAGAGCTTCCTGGGATAAAGGGCGTGGGAATTTGATCCCGTAAAGGTTACATCCTGGGAACGTCTACAGGGCAGGTCCACTTAGCCTGTGTGTGTGCTTGCAGGACAGAATCAGCTCAATGGGACAAAATAACGAGGCCAGGTCTTTGGAGCGGTTCATAGTTAACACTTAACAGACTTTGCAAGCCATGCACCAAATCCTTAAAAGTTAAATGTAAACTCAAACTAGTATCAAAGGAGGAAAGAGCCTTCCATTCCAAGGTTGAGAGTACTTCCTCTTCTTAAGTGACCATCTCCCCAGGGTTCTGGCCAAATGTCGGGTTCCAAGGGAAGAAAGGCCCCGTAGGAATACTGCCACCTGTCCCAGGCCCACAGATGCCAATTCTACTGTAAGGAAACTCGGATGGGGTAGAACTGTGACAGGCCCCTTCCGGTCCCAGTGCAGGGAGTCTGGGGGCAGCTGGAAGGGTGACCTTGCTCGCTGGCCTGCACTGCCCCCACGTGGAAGGCTGTGCGACTGCAGCAGGCCCCAGTCACTGCCTGCTTCTCAAGCGGCTTCCCTGATGCAGGCCTCTGGTCAGCCCCATGTATTCGGGGTACAGCCATCTGCAGAAGGTGAGCTGCAGTCACTGGGCACTGGTCAGACGAGGACGAGCCACCTGCACTGACTACTGGGGACCCTTTAATCCCACTGATCATCAGAACTGGATAATCTGGGCACATCCAGAAGGGACCCTCCCCGCACAGAGTCTGCCCTGAGCCTGGCTGCGGCCTCCTGTGTGCAGGAAAGGCCTGGGTCCCTCGCTCTCCACAGACGCCTCTGACTGGACCAGACCACTTACCTGGCTGGAGGGAAGACGCTCACGCTGCTGCTGAAACTGGAGTCACAGGGCCCATCTGGACCTCCTGGGGAGACAAGAGAACAGGGTGCCATGCTCAAGCTGCTGGGTTCTCCCTGGATGGACAGATGCCTGTCACAAGGACACACAGACCACCCACATCGGGACTCAGGACTTGAAAAGGAATGTGGCTCTGTGCCCCACGACCCCAGGCCTCCTCACAGCTCAGCTTCGCTGGGATGGCAGTCATGCTTTCACGCTTCCAGACACAGTGGTCCCACCTGGGGAGGGGACATCAGTGCTGGACACATCCGGGCAATTTGGGGAGTTGATCCTTGGCCCAAGGGCAATAGTGCAACATGTTCAACGTCATCAGCCATCAGGGAAACGTTGACCAAACCCAAAACAATCTGCCACTTCATACCGACTAACCAAAAACCCAAACTGGCCCAATGAGAGGTGATGAGCCTGATTCCCAGCGCCCATCCACCAGGCCTCTGGGCTGTACATCTTCACAGGGGACTGTCCATCCATCTCCCATGAAGCACCCGGGGGACGTGAACTGCCAACCACAGGGTTATGGCATGATGCCACAGTACGATAAAAAAAAATTACGGATTTTAAAACAAATACTAAGTCCCGGGGAGAACGTGGACAAACCAGAACTGTGGTCCACTGCTGCTGTTTTCATGTGTCATTGAGTCGTTTGCAACTCAAAGAGACCGTAAGTACAACTAACTGCTCTGAGCCCTGCTCCATCCTGAGCCAGTTTCATTGCCTCCGACACACTGACCCCCAGGACCCCGGTCACTGAGTCAATCCATCTCACCCAGGTTCTTCCTCTTCTGCACTGTCCTTCCACCCTTCTAAGCATGATGTCCTTTCCAAAGAACTGGTCCCTCCTGGCAACATGCCCAAAATGTGTGAGACGGAGCTTCAAAATCCTTGCCTCCCATGTTTATCACAGCTTTGTTTACAATAGCAAAGAGTTGGAAGCAGCCTAAGGGCCCATCAACAAACGAATGGATAGAGAAGCTGTGGTATATCCACACAATGGAATACTATGCAGCATTGAAAAACAAGGAACTCATGCAATATTATTCAAAGTGGGTGACCCTGGAGGACATTATGCTGAGTGAAATATCTCAGTCACAAAGGGACAAATACTGCATGGTGTCACTGTTGTAGAATGGGTCTGACATCAGGGTGGGGGTATGACAGAAAAAACTGGATAAATTATGTATATTGTATTGAAACAGATGAGGGAAAGAACAGATTAGAAGTGAAAAAAAAATCCTAGTATCCAAGAAGCAAACCAGTTTCCCCTCTCCAAGACAGACCTGTTTGCTCTCTTAGCAGTCCATGGTATAGTCAATACTCTTCTCCAGCACCACAACTCAAAGGCATTGATTCTTCTATCATCCTTACTCACTGTCCGCCTCTCTGATGCAGAGCAAGTAACTGCAAAGACCATGGCTTGGATCAGGCACACCTTAGTCTCTAAACTGACATCACTGCACTTCAGTACTCTGGAGAGGTCCCTGACAACAGATTTTCCCAATGCAACTCACCTTTTGATTTCCTGGCTGCTGGTACCAAGAGTGTTGGCTGAGCTGTTAACAATCTCAATCTCTTCTCTGTCTTATCATGCTGTGAATTGGCCCAGTGGTGAGAACCTTTGTTTTCTTGATGCTGAGCTTCAATCCATAATGAAGGCTTCAGTCCTTGACCTTCTTCAGAAAATGCCTCAGATCCTCCAAAGTTTCAGCAAGCAAAGTTGAGTCATCTGGATAATTCAAGTTCATGAGTCTTCTTCCAATCCTGATGCTATACTCTTCCTCATAAAGTCCAGTCTCCTGGATGATCTTTTCTGCATATAAATTAAAAATGTATGGAGATAGGATGCATTCCTGGTGTATGTATACCTTGCCTGATTCTGAACCATGCAGTGTTTCCTTGCTCTGTTCTGACAAATGTCTCTTGGTCCAAGTATAAGTTTCACATAAACTTAATCAAGTGTTCTAGGATTCCCATTCTTCTCAAGGTTAGCAACAATTTGTTGTGATCCCCACAGTCAAAAGTCTTTGCATAATCAATGAAGCACACAGATATTCCTCTGGTACTTTCTGCTTTCCGCTAAGATCTGTCTAACATTGGCTATTATGTCCCTATTGCCAGGGCTTCTTCTAAACCCAGCCTGCAATTCTCTGTTCCAGTCATTTTTGGATCTTGCTTGTGTTATTAATGATATTGTTTGATGTTCCACACTCTTGTCAGATTACCTTAATTTTTTTTTAAAAGGGGATAAATATGGACCTTTTCCAGCCAGTTGGCCAGGTAGTTTGGCACCACCAGATTTCTTGGCACAACCTGGTGAGGACATCTGGGGCAGCATCTGTTTACTGAAAAATGTCAACTGGTATGGTGTCAATTCCTGAGGCCCAATTTTTGTCAATTCCTCAGAGCAGCCTGAACTTCCTCTTTCATCACCATTGCCTCTTCTTGATTATATGTTGTTTCATGAAACTGTTTGTCAGTCAATTCTTTTTGGTATAGTGACTCTGTATACGCCTTCCATCTTCTTCCTCTTCTTTTTTAACTTTAAAAAGCAGAAGTTTATTACTATTTAGGAGGCTACAAGTCCAAATTCAAGGTGCCAGCTTTAGATCAAAGTTTTCTTTCTCTGTTGACTATGGGAAAGGGTCCTATTTTCTTACATCGTTTTTTGATGCTTCCTGGGTCATCCAACACTCTGCCCGTAGCATCCTTAAGTATTGCAACAAAAAATGGTACAGCCACTTTACAAAACAGTTCCTCAAAAGGCTAAATACGGACACCACAAGACTCTGTGGTTTCACTTCCAGAATATATACTCAAGAGAAAGGAAAACCTATATCCACCCAGAAATGTCCTTAGTAGCAGTTTTCCCAATATCCCAAAAGTAGAAACACTGCAAGTGCCCATTGACGGATGGATGGCTAAACAATAAGACACTTCAAATCCACGACTGTCCAGTGGATGCTGGCTCAGAGAGACCCTACAGGACTGAGAAGAACTGCCCCAAAGGGTTTCCAAGGATGCAAATCATTAAAGAAGCAGGCTATCACAGGGTTTTCTTTTGAAGAAGCTGGAGAGTTTGAACTTCTGACCTTTTAGTTAATAACTGAGTGCTTTAATCATGTGCCACAGGGCTCCTAATATCTGTCCACTGTGAAGGGTCAATGCTGGCTAGGCCATGGATAAACCCTGAAAACATTATGCTAAGGGAAAGTGGCCAGTCAGGAAAGATCACAGATTATATGATTCCATTGCCATGAAATGTCCAAAAGAAGCAAATCCAGAGAGACAGAAAGTAGATTAGTGGCTGCCAAGGGCTGGGGGAGGGGAGAACAAGGAGGGATTGCTATTGGGGACATGGTTTCTCTCTGGGATGATGAAAATGTTCTAGAATTGATGGTGGTGATGGTTGCACAACTCTGCGGAGATATTACATGTAATTGGACTGTACAGTTCGAATGGGTGAAATGTACGGTATGTGATTATCTCCATAAAGCTGTTTACAGAAATGACTGTGGCTCTGCTCTCCGCCCAGTCCTCCCTCTCGCGGCCGCTGGGTTCCTGTCATTAGTACTCAGCTCTGCATGGCGTGACCCGGGACAGGAAAGGGCCAATCTCACATCAACGATTTACTTCCCCACTTAACGAAGAACTTAAGATCCCAGGCATCTAACGGAGCCTCCCATCCAGCCTGGATCGGGAAGGTTCTACCAACTCCCACCCCAGTCCAGATGCCAGTCTCAGGGAGCAGGGAGCTGCAGCGTGGGGTGCAGAAAGTGGGGTTCTCGACAGCTGCCACCAGCTGTGTGGGTCAGAGCAGGCAAGCGATCTCTCTGTCACTGTTTTCTTATCTCTACAGTGAGACCACCACTGGCGTGGCCCGCCCCAGCCTTTATACATACTTAACATACATCTTCTTGTAAAATCCTTATAGACTGATAGGAGAGATGCAAAAATACAACCTCTTGCTGCCCCTTACGTTACCATCTCTGCTAACCACAGCTATGATCACACCAGGCGGGTAACACTGGCACCAAACCACATGCCTCATTTGAATTTCCTCAGCTCTCCCACCCCATCCGTCCTTTCTGGCCCAGAATCCAGCCGCATCTCCTTAACCTCCTCCCATCAGTGACAGTCCTTTAGTCTTCCTTTGTTTTCCATGAACTTGACATTTCCGAAGGACTGGTCAGTTACTTCGTAAGTCTGGGCTTCTCCTCAGACCTCCTCCCACTGACTTCAGCCTCCACCAGCAGGTCTTGCCTACACTGCTTTTTCCTGTGGCATCTGCCCAGGGCTGACTTTCTAGTTCCTTTCACACTTATTAGGGACCTCTGGTGGCTAGTGTGGGTATTGCAAAGCCAAAGGCTGCACCTCTTCAGTGGGTGGTTCAAATCCATCCGTGGCTTCATGGGAGAAAGATGGGAAATATCTTCCTGTTCCTCAGAAACCCAATGCAGGCTAAGCTGAGTGCAGGTCCTGGCTTGGTGGCAGTGAGTTTCTTAGTTTGAGTTCTGTATTAACCAGAAGTCTGGGAGGCTATGAGGAAGAGCTGGCCCTTTTCCCTCACGCACCTGAACACTTATTTACTATGTACTTTATGCTGTGGGCTTCATCTTAAAATTATTATAGATGTTGTTTAAGTTGTACTCTACTTGGCATGAAGGAGTTCTGGTGTAGTGCATTACGGGCTGAACTGCTAACTGAAAGGTCAGGGGTTCAAATTCGCCATCTGCTCTTTGAGGAAAGAGGGGCAGTCACCTGTCCTAAAGATGGACAGCCTTGGAAACCCATAGGAGGGCTGAACTCGGTCCAGCTGACAGCAGCTGGGAGGTAGGTATCTGACCTCTCAGAATTTTACAATGACGCAACTCAATTTAATGCCACTGAGCTGGAATACAGCCGACCCTCCAGAAGGATTTTAGAAGCTGGAATCAGTGGGAGAAGGCGGCCCATCTTTCTCCCTTACAATATGATACAAGCAATGCGTGCGCGCACGTGTGTGTGTGT